CGGCCGCGGCGGCTCTCACACCCCGAACCCTTGCTCATTTCCTCGCCTCGCCTCGCTCTCGGGTCTCACGGTCTTCGTCCTTCCCGACTCCGGTGAGGTGACCTCGACGATCCGCCTGCCGCCGACGAGCAGCTCTCTACTCCTCCTATCTCTCTCGTCGTCTTCTCCGACACCGGGCTCCGGCTGCGTAGGTGAATCCCTAACCCTAACCCTAACCATGTTCTAATTTCTTCTTTTTCTTTCAATATATGCTTCTGATTTCTTCTTTCTTCCAATGTTTCTTAGGTCGGTAGCCGATGCATCGTCTTCTAGCTGCGGCTTAGAGCGAGCAAGGCGGCCACCCGCACCGTCGAGGAACGGGGCTAGAGAGGCGGCCATGGCCGACGAGGATGGCCTCCTGCCGGTTGGCCTAGCCCCAGAGGGCGAGAACGACGACGACACTCGAGCCGACGCTGCTGTGTTGTTCGGTATCGATCTTGGGGACGGCTCTGCTGCTCCGATCGATGTGGACGCGGACGATGGTGAAGGGGCGACGGCGACTGCGAACTCCAACGGCTCTGCTCCTTCGGTTGCTGGTACAGGTAATAATAGTAAGCACAAATCGCTTGTGTGGCCTGATTTTGAGGAGATCTATGAGATTATTAATGGTTCTAGTATTTGCACCAAGGCTATTTGTAAGATGTGCAAATCTACCTTGTCTGCCAGATCTGCTGCTGGCATTGGTCACTTAAAAAGGCACCAAAAATCATGTAGGATTAAAACTGATCAACGTGCTAGGGTTCAATCTAAGCTTTCATACAATCCTGATGGTTTTGTTTATAACTGAAATTATAAACCTGAAGTTGCTAGATCTGAATTATGTCGTTTGATTGCTAAGCTTGATCTGCCTTTAGGAATTGGTGAGACTGATGCTTGGGAAGAATACATTGTTAGAGCTCATAATCCTAGGTTTGTTAAGGTCTCTAGATAGACCACCACTAGAGATCTTGGCAAACTTTTTAATGAAAGACGTAATATAATTAAGAACTGTGTGTTGTCTGGTGCTTCTTCTGTTGGTCTGACATCAGACATTTGGTCTAGTAATGCAAAGGAAGACTATATCAGTGTTGTTGCTCACTATGTGTCTGCTGACTGGGAGTTGCAGAAAAAGGTAATTGGTCTCCGCTTAATTGAGGTAAAACATATCTTTGGTGAGAATATTGCGAGAAAAAAAAGTTGCTTGTGTGATTGAAGAATTTGGTTTGCTTGATAAGGTGTTCTCTGTTACTCTTGACAATGCTTCTTCCAATGCTAAGGCTATGGAAACATTGACACCTATGTTTCTTTGGTTATCCGGGTTACGAACTGAACCTACACCTTGAGATCCTAATAAGGTTAAGTATCATCTTGTGCATCAACGTTGTGCTTGCCATATTATTAACTCGATAGTAAAATCGGCTTAAAAGGTTCAAACCTTACATCGAGGATTTCAGAACTGCTATTAACTTTTTGAATTCATCTAATCAAAGGATTGCTTTGTTCAAGAACTTTTGCATTGCTAAGGGTGTTAGACCTAGAAAGTTTGGTTTGGATATGGATGTTAGATGGAATGCTACATATCTTATGCTTAAACACCTGCTTCCATATAAGGATGTTTTTCCTGTGTTCATTAATTCCAACTATGGCTCAACGTTGTTAGCTGTGAAGTCCTTTGGTATATTGTCGATAAAATACTTGAATTCTCGAAAGTTTTTATGACTCACTGATCACTCTTTACGGTGTTTACTATCCAACTAGTCCACTTATTCTCGCACCATCGCTAGATATTATAACTCATTTGCATGAAAGTTCAAAGGATCGAGAATCTGCATTTTCTATTGTCTATCCTATGAAGCTTAAATACCTAAAATCTTTGGAAGGACATACCTCTGTTGTATTCATTTGCATTCATTCTTGATCCTAGAGGTAAAATGTGAGGTTTATTTAATGTTCTTACCATAATGCAACAAAAAACTGGTTTTGACTACAGTTCTTATTATGGTATTATGAAAACTGAAATTTTCAAGTTGTTTAACAAGTATGAAGAAAAGTTTGGTGCAGTTAGGTTTCAAAGGAGGGCTGCACAACCTGGAAGCATCACAGGTAAGAGGAAGCAGGCATGGGGAAGAATTTTTGGAGGCCCTGGAGCATCTGGTGTTGTTGGACCTTCCCCTGCCTCTGCTCTCAGTCCTTCTTTATCTACTTCTGTTGCTGCTTGTGAGCTATCTGCTTATCTGGATAGTGACAATGTCACTGCATATGAGGATGACTTTGATCTACTTCTCTGGTGGCGTGACCATAAGCTAACATATCCAGTGCTTTCTATCATGGCTAGAGACATTATGTCAGTTCCTGTTTCAATAGTGTCTTCAGAATCTTGTTTCAGCTTGACAGGAAAAATACTTGAGGAGCGGCGCCGTCGACTATTGCCTGAACATGTGGAGATGCTTGCTTGCATAAAAGATTGGGAGCTGGGTGAAAGAAGACTGCAGCATGATGTTGACAACCAAGAACTGGTAGACTCCTTCGAGCATCTCTATCTTGATGAAGATGCATCTACTTCTGGGGCTCCTTCTACTAGCACATCTGCATCTGTGGCTTCTGCTTCTGGTGGTTCTTGAGTTGAGAGTTGAGATTGAGACAGTGAGAGTGTGAGACTTGAGAGGTGAGCTGAGAGCCTGAGACTTGATTATGATCTGTATCTGTGAATCTGTGATGTATCATGTAAACCTTTGAACATGTTTAAGACTTATAAGAGCTGTGCTGCACTCTTTTTCTCTTTCTAGGGTTTCTCACAAGGATGAGTTTTACCCAGAAAGGTTTTTAATGAGGCAGCATTGCACACAACTCAATTATCCTTTTAATTTCCTCTTGTTCTCTGTGTGTATGGTTTTGGTTTTGGTTTGAAGCTCTTTAAATTTGAATACTTGTTGAGATGATTTTTTTTGAACTTATGGGCCTCGGGCTGGCACGGCCTGCTGATTTGGCCATGCCTAGCAGGCCGGCCCGGCACGGATTTAGGCCTATGGGCCCGTGCTTGGGTTGATGGCCAGGCACGAGGCCCGCAGCGGCACGGCACGGGAGGCACGGCGTGCCGTGCCGGCCCGACATCCTCCGGGCCGTGCCTTGCCCGTGCCCGGGCCGTACCGAACCGGGCCGGCCCGATGGCCAAGTATACAAGCTCCATATATAAATTGAGGCATCGTTCTTTCGGTCTTTGCGTCCAGCCTCTCAGTGCCCTCAATCATACGGTGTGCTCTTAGCTTGGTAGTGTCGCTTCTCCTGGTAGACCAAGTGAAACAGCTTGAGTTACTATGGAATCTCAGAGGGGGAAACTGCTGTCTGAAGAACCACTTCTTGAGGTCGATTTGTATAGTCCATCTGCCACTCTCATGCTTTCTACAGCTTTGATTTGTTGTGTCCTTACAGCACTTAGCTGAGTAATCTTTACTAATATTTTTTCCCATCGTGTGTTCGTTTCCATACCCTCGAGAAAGAAGGAACAGACGCCTCAAAAAGTTCCAAACTGATTTTCTATATCTAATTTACATTTGTTTTCTCAAAGGTCTAATCTTTACATTCTGTTTTTTTCACCTTTTTTTCATATTGCTGAGATTTGAGTCATGCCTGAACTTAGCTTTCTACAACCCTATCTTATATATGAAAGGATAATGATGAGGAAGAAGTTTACGTGCGACTAACTCCTGCTTGCATCATCTTTTTTTTTTCATATTGCTGAGATTGAGTATGAATGCCTGAACTTTCTTACAACCCTATCTTATATATGAAAGGATAATGATGTGGAAGAAGTTTATGTGCAACTAAGGGCGCGTTTAGATGCAAAAATTTTTAGGTTTTGGTTACCGTAGCACTTTCGTTTGTATTTGACAATTAGTGTCTAATTATTGACTAATTAGGTTCGAAAGTTTCGTCTCACGATTTCTCACCCAACTGTGCAATTAGTTTTTTTTTCCATCTACATTTAGTACTCTATGCATGTGTCGTAAGATTCGATGTGATGGATACTGCGCAGAAATTTTTGGAAACTAAACAAGCCCTAACTCCTGCTTGCATCCATATTCTCTGGCTCTGATTCCAGACTCTTTTGCTGAACTATCCTGCATTTAATTTGTAACAACTATATATAATTTGTTTTTTTGTCACTACAGAATTTAATAGAAGGTACAAGTGAAAAGATTGTTGAAATCAAGGGAGTCGAGCACCATACCGCCGACAGTTGGAGAGCATGCATTTACATCTTAGGTAAGCTTAAGAAAACAAATTTCATACAGATCTCACAAAAATGTTTATAAAAAACGAAAGGCCATGCAAAATGCTAAGGGTAGCTAGTTGGGACGATTATTCATTGTTTGCCACTGGGAAAAAAATCCTCAAATCCTATACATGCCAAGATCTGGATCCACATGTCATAGACACAGACGATGGCAAATCCGGGCTAGAGGATTTGCAATGACGTGAAGAATTTTTCCTAGTCAGTTTCAATTCACTGATTAAAGCCGTCTAAGCTCTGATACTACTACTCTTATACAGTTTGCTTGACAGTTGCCACTTGTTACTTCTTTACTGCAGTGACTGAATGCTTTGAGGAGCTAGCATACTACGGGATCCAGTTCAACCTGGTTACATTTCTCAAGACAGTGCTACATGAAAATAATGTTACCGCAGCAAGAAACTATACAAATTGGCAGGGGACTTGCTATATCGCACCACTGGTTGGAGCTATCATAGCAGATTCCTATTTGGGCCGATACCTGACTACAGTGGCTTTCTTCACAGTTTACCTAGTTGTAAGCACACAAAATTCAAACTTTATAAAAATAAAAAGTAATTTATTAAAAAAGGGTCAGGAAAAACTCTAGCATACCATTTCTGGAGTCAAATTTACATCTTTCCACAATGCTGTTGGGCACACCTACTTTATTTCCACTGACCAGGTTACTGTTCTTGTTCAACACAAGGGAATGGCTGCAATGTCCATTTCAGCATCATTCCCGACTTGTGCCGGACCTGATTGCCTGCAGGATGGTTCATCGAAGTCATTTGTGTTCTTCCTCGGCCTATACATGATGGCCATTGGAGCTGGCGGGATGAAGCCCTGTGTTTTATCATTTGGCGCTGACCAATTCGATGACAGCAGCCCAGCCGAGAGGCTGAAGAAGGATTCCTTCTTTAACTGGTTCTTCTTCGCCATCTACATCGGCAGCTTCGTCTCGGGCACCGTCGTTGTGTGGGCGCAAGATCATTTCGGGTGGGTGGTTGGCCTCTGGATCCCGACCCTGTTTATCGCGTTGGCCATCGCGAGCTTCGTGTTGGGTTCGAGTTCATACACGGTCCAGAAACCCATGGGGAGTCCAATCGTCAGAGCTTTCCAAGTCATTGTTGCAGCTATCCGGAAATGGGATGTTAGATTGCCGAATGACGACTCTCTCCTCCACGAGTTACTACAAGAGAAGACATCAATGGCGGATGGCGATAAACTGCAGCATACACCAGTGCTAAGGTCCTTGCCTGAACCTGCTGTGATTTGTGAACGCTCTTTTCATTCTCAGGTCCGGTCCTTAGATGTAACTAACAAGTTTGTTTTGAGCAGATTCCTTGACAAGGCTGCAGTGATCTCATCAGCCGAGGAGCTGGCTGATCCATGGAGGCTCTGCACCGTCACGCAGGTACAAGAACTGAAGGTGATCATCGGAATGCTTCCCATCTGGGCCACCGGGATCGTATACTTCGCCGTGCTCGCGCAGTTCTCCTCGACGTTCCTGGAGCAAGGCAGGACGATGGACAAGCTGGTCGGCGCGTTCGCCATCCCGCCAGCGTCCCTGGCGTCGTTCGACGCAGTCAGTGTCATTTTCTGGGTGCCCATCTACGACAAGGTCCTCGTGCCCGCAGCCAGGCGACTCACCGGCAGGGAAAGGGGCCTCTCGGAGCTGCAGCGCTTCGGCACTGGCCTGATCCTGTCCGTCCTGGTGATGACAGCCGCGGCGCTGGTCGAGACGCGGCGCCTGGCGCTGGCGGCCGCGCACGGCGAGGGCGAGGTGCCCATGAGCATCCTGTGGCAGGTGCCCCAGTACTTCCTGATCGGCGCCAGCGTCGTGTTCGCGTGCGTCGGGCAGACGGAGTTCTTCTACAACGAGGCTCCAGCGTCGATGCGGAGCCTGTGCTCGGCGCTAGGGCTGCTGGCCGTGGCGCTCGGGAGCTACCTGAGCTCGCTCGTGGTGACCACGGTGGCATGGCTCACGACGAGGGGCGGCGAGCCCGGGTGGATACCCGATGACCTCAACGACGGCCACCTCGATCGCTTCTTTTGGCTCCTCGCGGCGCTCAGCTCGCTCAACCTGGCGGTTTTCGTGTGCTGCGCGAGGCGGTACAGGCGCAAGAGCGCTTACTAGCGTGAGTATGTGTTGGATTCAGGGGTTGTTTGGTCCCCGGAGGCTTCTCTGGCACATCAAATATTTATATATTAATAAAGAGCATTAAATATAGATTAATTATAAAACCAATTACATAGATAGAGGCTAATCTGCGAGGCGAATTTTTAAGCTTAATTAATCCGTTATTAGCATATGTTTACTGTAGCATTATGTTGTTAAATCATTGACTAGTTAGGCTTAAAAGATTCGTCTCGTAAATTAGTCGCAAGTTGTGTAATTAGTTTTATAATTAATCTATATTTAATACTTCATATATGTGTCCAAATATTCAATGTGACAGGGATTTTAGGATGTCCTACAGAAACCAATCAGGCCCTTAATTAGACTTGGAGCATTTTCAAAGTTTTTGAGTCTGTCAACCTAACGACGGGTTGTTTTGGCCCCTTCCGATAACTAGATTTTTTACATGTACTTACACGGTTTTATAGCTATATTTGCACCGTCTTATTACTATATTTATACTGATTTCTTCAGTCTAATTTATTAGATAGAGTAATGTAATTTGAGAAAAATTATTTTTATGAATTGCAGATATCAAATAAATATGTCAAATTCTTCACAAATTTCAAAATAAAAAAACGTGCTTGCTCGGTGCATGTAGTGCCGCTGCAGGATAAAGCCGATGCGGTGCTCGATCGTAACGGCACTCTGCGAGTCCGCGTTGCAGCCGCCCGGAAGCTTCTTCGTTCGTCCAGGTCCAGCGTCATCATCGTCCATCAGAGCATGAATAGTACGCGCAGACTACTGTAAACACGCAGGAAAGTAAAAGAGAAATCGGACTTGTGCTGACACCAGGCACGTACGTACGTCGTTCCGGCGATTGCGCCCGTCGAGTCTGCATCCAAGGGCCCAGAATCCGATTGTTTTGGAGGTCTAAAACAACCGGTTGATGGTTAGCATCTCCTAAATCAATTATTGAATCAAATAAATTTTAAGGCCCATGTTAAATGCTAGGTAAGATCTTTCTTTAACTTTCGAAACTAAAGTCCAAGCTCAGGCAGCTCATTGCGCCACGTCGTCTGTTTTTTTCTGGCCGTTCGATTCGCTAGCCACGTTATATCGAGCCGTGGAGCAGCGTAGCAGGATCTTCTATTTCGCGCGCCTCCTACATAGCAGCGGAAATCCCGGCTAATCCTCCATCTGTCTTCTTGCCGATTCCATCGTTGAGGAGCAGGAGCCCCACCACGAGCGATCAGAACAACGCCACAGTACACGGTGTAGGACTGGAGGCATTGCGGCGTCTGTGGCTGACCAGCAGTTCAGCACTGCGGCGACCCCTTGCCTCTGTCCGCGCTCCATCGCCGCTGTCATCATTTCACAGAGCGTGTTTTTGCTCGTCGACTGGGTTTGACATCTCGGCGGCCAGTTGCAAGCGGCGCGTGCCGCACTGCGGCCACACCGCGAAATCGAACGCGCGAAGCACGACCCCGTGGTGGAAGCCAACGCCATAGGCTGATAGGCATGTGTAACGATCCTTCACTACTGAGGAGCAATTACAAGGGTATCTGATACAAATTGAGAAAAATTAAAGGGAGTTTAGACTGGGAGGAGCAGGAATCAGGGGTAGCGGCAAGAACAGCAAGGGGCAGGGAGGTCTCGGACAGAGGACTCGAGGAGGAGGACCGAATTTTTTATTTTTTAGCTTTTTTTTTAAAAAAAATTCACAAATATATATCTGAAGGTAAGATTTTAAAATATGTACCCTTAGCTCGGTGTCATCTTTGCTGGCGCCGAGTTTACACTGCACGGCGCCATTGTTGCTGACGCTGAGGTTTTAGACTCGATGCAGACGTGGTGATAACTTAGTAGGCAGCTCGATGTCATAGATCCTGACGTCAAGCTTGACGTCGTAGATCCTACCGCTGAGTTCGCCGCCGAACTTAGCGTCATGATCTATAACGCCGAGACGGTGTTTTAACCCGGCACGATCCGCCTCCGGTTTGGCATGACACGACGTGTACGTACTGGACCGGCAGGTAGCAGCACACCGGACGCACGCACAGGGGGAGATCCGCCGTCCCCGGCAGCATGTGCTCCCACAGTTGCAACTTGTGGTACTAGCCCGGCCATGCCGCCGCACCTTCTGGCTTTCGTGCTGCCCGGTACGGCACACTGCCCGCGTTTTCTACGTGCTCCTATCCTCCTCCTACACCTACTCATCTACTACTAGTATACGCTACCTGTACGCATGTACGTCGTCTACCCATCACCTTAAAACTTTAATCTCAGATGTTTATACATACATGAGTATTAAATATAGACTAAAAAATAATTAATTACACAGATTACGACTAATCTGCGAAACGATTTTTTAAGCCTAATGAGTCCATGTGGTGCTACAGTAAACATACGCTAATGACGGATTAAGTAGGCTTAATAAATTCTTCTCGCGGATTACTGTTGACTTGTATAATTTGTTTTATTATTACTATCCCAATACTCCCATGTGACAACCCTAAACTTTAGCCTCTGGATTCAAATAAGCATATAACGAACATTTCGTGGCATTACTCCTCTATACATATGGATGAAAACGGGACGGGAAATTCCCGTACCGACCGACACCGTATACCGCATTAACTGATTACATGCCGTTTTTGCAGGAAAAATAGGAAACAGGAAACCGACACCGTATTTTAGGTAGGAACGGGAACGGAATCAGTTAAGGAATTTTCCCGACCGTATTCACGGTTCCCGTATTTGGGCAGAAAAATTCCCGGTGGAATTCCCGTATTTTTGTACACGTGCGATTGCAGCCTGCTGTTTGTTGCTGTACTATGTTGTATGCAGGCAGCTCCACTGGTGAGAGAAGGCAGAGTTGAGCAATTCATGGACCCGAGGATTGGCACGCAGTACCCACCTGGCCGAGCTCTCAAGGTCTTCTACCCTACTACCCTCTACCTATTCACTTTGTTCTCGCACAGCCACACCAGTATGAATTATGACGGGTTGCATCCATGATGCCTGATCGGATCGATACTCAACCTGGTCTGAAGGCCGTATCGTATCATGAATTATTTACTGCTGGTTAATTTAATGTGAGAGAAAAACACTATTCCTAGCTGAAAATTTACGATCATTTACGAGCAAACGAACAGGCTTACCAACTGCTGCCAATGGTTTCTGCATGCCCTGCAGCTGGCGAGGATAGCGATGTGGTGCTTGCAAGAGAACACCAACTCCCGGACATCCATGGGCGACGTTGCCCAAACGATCAGCTGCCACATCGTTTCATCGGAGACCAGCATGGCCATGTAGGCTAGGCTAGAGCTGGAGGGGCTTTGACGGCGGAGGGGCGACAGTAGTACCGGGCGACAAGATGCTGGCGACGCTGGGAGTTAGACTCTCAGAGTTACCGTTTTCCAATCGTAATCGACACGTTCTCGTTTGAAATATTCTGTTCCTGATATTTTGTAATATCAGTTTTGTTTTTCCGTCCGACCTTCCCGTTTCCGTTTTCGTTCTCGTTTTCGTTCCTGGCAAAAAAAAAATACAGAAACAAGAATGCTTAAATATTTTCTCAACCGTCCCCGACCGTTTTTATCCCTAACTATACAATGCCTTCAGCACTCAGATGGTCGTCGTGTGGCGGCCGGTGTGCAGTGGGTGCAGATCGAGGACTGTTGCCCAGCGCTGCAGCCTGCAGGCTTCAAGTGGACAACAGTGACAAGTCTCTAGTCGCCGCACAGCGTTACGGGCCGGGCGCGCGGGCATCAATTCTACACAGGCGTTTGCAAGCGCGGGACTGTGCGCTGCTACACGGAGCTGGAAGGCTGCCGATGGTGATGTACATGTACGCGCGCACAGTACGTGGAGCGCGCCTTTGGCGTTGGCCATTCGTGTCCGCGGCTGCATCGCGAGTCTATGAGACATGGTTGCGTTGCGCTCGTCGCCAGCAGTGTATAGGTTCAAGAGCTACACTGCGGCTAGGCCGCAACGAATTGAATGAGGTAGTATACCATGCATACCTGTAGGCGTAGGACGGTAGGAACAAGCTAGCCAGCTAGGCACGAGCAATTTGCTAATGGGATTGCTGATGCCAGCTAGGCACGGCTTTGGCGTTGGCCACGGCACGCACGTTGCGAGAATTCTACTGGCCGCCATCTATCTGTTCTTAACCATGCGGCCATGCCAAATTTTTTACTTTTTAGCTCTTCTTTTAAAAATTTCTCCTGAATAGACTTCTGGACGAAAGATTTTCAAAATCTAGACCCTTAACTTAGCGCCATCGATGCTGACACCGAACTAACACGTCTCGGCGCCAGCGTCCCTGACGCCGAGCTCCTGGGCTGGGGCGAACGTGGAAGGTTATATAGCATGAAGCTCGGCGCCAGTCATCCTGGCGCCGTAGATCTTGGCGCCGAGCCTTTATTTTAACCCCTCACCTACATTCCTACCCGAGCGTTCTTCCTCTTCTTTCTCCTCCCTCTCGGGTTTTTTCTCTCCCCACTTCACCCTACCTCACGAATCGACATATTGGACCTTGAAAACTTTGATTTGATCCGTAGATCTTCGAGAGCAAGGTATCCTCGCTCTCGTTCTAGTTTTTTTCGCATCGATTCAGTATATATTAGTCGGATTTTTGAACATAAAAATCGTCATTACTTAGGGTTTCATTCTATCCCTCAATATATGTATTATACAACCGTAGAATGATGTCAAGGCGTGAAAAAGCTAGCATACCTAAGCGTATGTAGTTATGTTATGGGTTCATTGTTGTGCATCAAATGAGAAACCCTAGGTTTAGGGTTTAATGTTATTGCTTTCGGTTCCTAAAACGAAATTTGTTGTATTATAGTTATGGTTCGCATTGACATTTATTTGTGATGTTTTGAGTTTTGTTTGTTAAATTACATCCGTTTTGTTAGATGCAAGAAATATTTCGGGAGGAGTTTTGGCGAAAACGGAATCGTCCTCGAGAATTATACCCCGACGCGTATAGCAAAGATGCCCCCGTC